AAAAATCCAAAAAAGATGACTCTAACCTTGACAAAATGGTGGTTATTCATTACTCCCCATTGTAATACCCCAAATTTGTCCCACCCTTCTACTTTTATCTGGTTTACGCATTGTCGCACTTTTCTCATGTACATATCTCCATTAGGTCATTTAACATTGCACATATTCGCTAACAACCTAATTTGGCATGTGATCAAAGATTTCAAAGAATTAGGGTTTCTTTAAGGCTCTGAGGCTCTTAACTTCATCCAAGAGATTCAAGCTGCTTCTTCAACAGGCAAGGAAAGATGCTAGGGTTTTAACTTGTTCTGGGAAGGATGCTAGGGTTTTCAACTTGTTATTATCCATCAAGAATTCAATTGTAAGCTAAGGTTTTGGTTCCCCCCATCATCTCGAGCTACCTTGATTATCAGATTTTATCAAAGGCAAGTGAACTAGGGTTTGTTACTCATCATATCTGAGCTTGTTGATGTTCAACGACTGAGATTCATTGAGTCTCATGTCAAGGTATCCTATTATGATCCAAGTCCTACCCTTATCAAAGGATTCAAGGCATTGGCTATCTTGTTACTCATCAAGTTGAGGTATAGTGGAATTGAATTGCAAAATGCGAGCTATGGCGCAAGAGATGGGGATGGATTGTTTGTCATGAAATTTTGGTTAAGATTGGAAAATTGAATTGAGTATAGGGCTTCATGGAGAATGGAAGATTAATTTGAGGTATTCATTCAAGTTCTAGATTGGATCAATGTTTGCTTTGGAACTAGTTACAATGTTGCAAAGGAATACGCCGTGCAAGTTTCAAGTCCACTTATCCAAGGCCAAAAATTCATTATTCAAGGCTTTAAAATTCAAAAACATCATTCATCGTTCATCATTCAAATTCTACAAATTTATGTCATCAAATTCTACATCATTCATACTTTTACAAGCGGAACTCTAAGTGATAATTACAAGGAAACTACAACCTCATGACATCAAATTACATTTTCAAATCTCATTTCTCCATACACCTTCATGTTTCCTCCAATCTTCGAATCCTGCCTCGTGTGCAAAACCTCATGATACGCCTCCATCATTCCTTCATTCTTTCCATGCCCAGGCTTCAAAATCACGTTAAGCTAACCACAATACATAATTCAGCCTGCATCAATTATCCATCAGTTCAGCCCTGCATTTTGTTCATACCCAATAAATCAGAAAACAATGAAAATATCAGAAAATCAGGAATGAAATTAAACCATAACAGAATAAAGGCCCCTGTTAAAATCCCAGCTTAACAAAAAAGACCTGCATAATGAAAAACCAAAACAGAATTTTTTACAAAACATTCTCAAACCACCTCATAACAACCTTCTAACAGAAATTACACTAGCCTTCAAAACTAATATAACTAACTCTCAAACCTCTAATCTTCACCATTCATTTGTCATAACAAACTTCTGATCCATTGGCCAATATTGTTTAATCTATAACTAACTTTTCCTAACAGCAATAACATCATAAAGGAGAAAACTCACCAGAAAAAACCAGAAGCCACGCATCACTCTCCATTTTTCCAGTTTCAAAATTCTCTCCCTCTCTTCTTCTCTGCACTCCTCAAAGCCCCATCTGCATTCTCTCTCTCTGAAAACTCTGCATAATTTTCATCTTCATTGAATCTTCATCATCTTCTGCAAATCTTCATTCTGCACCAACTTCTCTGCACAAGCTTCATCACTTCTCTGAACCGCTTCAACAAATCATCATCATCTTCTCCATCTTTCATCTACAACATCATAACATAATTCAACAAAGAGGCATAACAGATTGTAGGAGAGAAAAGGGAGGGAAGAGATTCATGATTCAGGATAGAAAAAGTCATAGAAAAATCACAAAATACTCACCTTTCGACTCTCTCTCTCTGCAATTCCTCAGGATCCTTCATCATCTTCAATCTTCAAGAATTCTTGAATCTTATACCTTCTTCAATTCTTCGAGCATCTTCATCTTCATGCTTCAACCTTCATGAACATAACCAGAACCTTCATCTCTTATCTTCAATCCACCTTCAATCTTCAAGGTTCCCTTGCGACATCATCACCTTCAAACAACTTCACGCGCTCGTATTCCACCTGTAAGGTTCACTTCAAACATTCATCTTCCGCAAATCACATCGACTTCGGCGAATTCAACACGAATCTGCGATAACCAAAGCATCTTCGTCGCTACATCAACTTCTATGCTGAAAATGACAACATATGCTCGCATCAGTGCAACGTAGTTCTTAGCATGCTGATTCAATCCCCCAAGGTCGAGGGTCAATTGAGCACCAGGAACGATGGATTTAGTTTTAGCTATACTCTAGGGTTTCAGATTCAAGAGATTTTATGAGATTTGAGTCAGGATTTGGAGAAGAGAAGACGGTCGATTGAAACGAAGGCGAAGGTTGAACGGAAATGATGATGGCGGCATGGAGTTCATCGGAGAAGTCGAGTCGAGAAGAAGAGAACCGCCGCCGCTGAGTCGTAAAAGAGAAGAGGTTTCCACGAAGTTTAATCCTCACGTGTTCTCAACCCTAATGCATCGTTCCCTTACCTTATTTTTTGTTTAATTTTCTGTCATTATTCAATTTTTTGGATTAGGATAGCTTATTGGATCAGACTGTAGCCGTCCAAGCCCATGCCACAGGATTTTTGGAGGCTTGAATTGCAATAGAACAAAAACTTCTTGTGGACTGAAAATGGTTGGGCCTTGTTCCATAATTTACTATTGACCACACTCATGTATCCAGAACACCCCCTGACTCTTCTAATTTTCTTTTTATTATTATTTCAGTTTTATTCTAGTTTAATTTTTCTTTTCTTAATTGATAATAAAAAGATAAATATTAGAATATTTTAGGAAATATTTTTAGATTCTCTTTAAAATTTTATTAGAATTTTCTAATATTTCTTTTCATGTTCGATAATCATTTTCGTTGTCACTTTTTAGCTAAGATTATGTTAGGATATTGATGTAACTTCCGCGATGTGAAATGCTTGGAGATTAATTTTTTATCACTCATGCGGAGCAACTTCTATAGAGTTTTCTTATCACTTACGTGGCTTCGAAGAGGCAACGAACCTTCTCCGTTCGGTATCATCGTGACCTCCACTCTTACTCCTCATTTCCGCACTTTATCGCTTTCTAGATATCATGAGAAGTAAGAAATAAAGAGCGTGCGCTCGAAGTCGCTGTTTAAAGACCTGTAGCAGACATTCCACACTTCATTTGCTATATGTGTTGTGCTTGTGTTTGTTTACTTTCTTGGATCGATGAGTCACTCAATTTAGCAATTGAGATCACGACTTCGCTCTCAGTGCATGCTCCCTATAGGATTTTATCGCTTTCCTTTATTTCTTGCCGATCGGTGAGTCACTCAATTTAGTAATTGAGATCACGACTTCGCTCTCATTGCATGCTCCCTATAGGATAGTTTTTTTAGACTTTTCTTCGACATGCTAACCTAGGCAGGATCTCTTTAGGTGTGCTCTGTTTGCTGGCTTGCTTGCTTCATCCTTGTATATACTATGTTCCCTTAGGATGCGCTCGCTCCGTTCGGACGCAAGTTAGACCTTAGATTGTAAACCACGCATGCTGACATTAGGTAGAAACTTCCCCTTTCATCCTTGACTTAAGACTACCATTGTATGACAATATTAGGTTAGAGATAGGCTAGTCTCCCCATTAGACTCTTTTCTTTCCCTCTTTGCATCCTTGCATTCAAAACAAAAACTTCTCTTCTTAGCAAATCAAAAACATGCTAATCTCACTTAAACCCTTTTTCAAGGTAACAAAAATACAAAACAAATTCAAATCATTTTGTGCGCTCAAGCACCTTTTCTCTAAAACCCTTTTCAGGTAAGGACATGATTAGTTTACTTCTGTGCCAACGCATAAGTATCCAAAGGTCGAGCTGCGGAAGAAGGCGGGATTAACTTCGTCCATAAAAAACATAAACAAACAAAAACATGTGAGCCGAACTACGGTAGCTCTGATTCCTCAAAAAGGATACGTAGGCATTGGGGTAGGGCCCAGGCGAGCACAACTTTATTTTCTCTACATTCTTTTCTCTTTTCTTTTGCATGCATTCCCTTCAGTAGTATAGTAGACAGTAAGCATAGATTAAACACACTCATAAGATAGATAACAAGAGTGGATACCGTAGAGTACTACGGGCGTGTGGGGTGCTAATACCTTCCCCTCGCGTAACAGACTCCCTTACCATTTCTCTCGGTCGCAAGACCGTGACTTCTCCCTTCCTCAGGTTTTCTCGATGTTTACCTTTCCCTACATGTGAGATAAAAGACGTTCGATGGCGACTTCATTGTTTTGATGATTTTCAGCCGATTGTTTCACCCATGAGTTGATGTTTGGCCTCCTCAATGTCCAAGATTTTGTTCCACCATTCCTGTTTCCTATCATCAGTTGCAAGTAAATTAGGTGTAGCCATGTGATCTGAAATGGTAGTTGTTGGCATGTGAACTATCTTACTCTTAGCTTCTCTTCATTTGTTCTATATGATATATAATATCATAAGATAATGTTCTTATCTAGATATGTTCACAATGATTTTTTTATTCTTAAATAATAAAAAGTTGAATGTACCTATTCAAAATAAGTCGGATAAAAAGTGTAATTTAATTTATCATAACTCTGTATTTTTACAGAAGAGAATTGTTGCATATCATAAATCAAAACAGAATTAGTGCATGTTGGCACTGTCACTAAAAAACAAAGTATTAACATTATATACGTCAGCCTTGACAAACACACGAGAATCTTTATTGGCTTCTCTCTAAAAAAAAACTTCACAAGTTTACTACAAGTTGCATAGATCCCGATGGATCCATCATGTATATCAATAATTATATCTGCAACAAATCAATACCCCTAACAGAAATAGTGTTTTCATTTTCTCTAAATGAATATTAGCAAGAAACAAAGTTGTACTAACACAGACTTATTCAATTCAGTTTTTAAACAACAATAGGCTGATCTTTATCTTTGTCCCCGGAGAGATTCAGTTTAGTCCATTTGACACGCCATGTCAAAAGTAAGAGTGTCCCGGTTTGACATACAAGGCCACAAATCAGACCAATCCATAAACCCTATATCATAAACCAAATTCAAGAGATAACACTGTGAATATATGTAACTACTTTTTGCTCATATTTAAAACTGGATGGAGTCACTGTTTTACCTTCATTTGCAAATTGGTCTTAAATCCAAGGAGACATGAAATTGGTAAACCAATGAGGTAAAAAGTTGCAAGGTTGACATAAACAGCTAAATGCTGCCAACCACATCCTCTAGCCACCCCTGCATTATTCAAGACATGTTTACTTATAAGAGTTTTTGTTAATGATCGTGATGCAGCGAAAAACTTAAAAGAGATAAAGAATTCAAACCTGATAAGACACCTTGGACAGAATCTAGTAGTATGGAAATAGCAAGCAAGGGTGTTATTGAAGCAAACTCCTCTTTGATAACAGGACTATTACTAAACAGCTGAATCCATATATCATGACCAAATACAAGTAACAAAACAAACCCGAGTCCAAGGAGAAGAGAGAGCTTTAGAGTGACTTTCATTGCATGTTTAGCTTTTTCTGGTTGGCCTGCTCCCAATTCATTGGAAACTCTTGTGCTATAAAAGTTAAGTTCAAACTTTTCAATACAAGTACAAGAACGTTGATTAAAATATACATCAATACCAGAGAAAGAGAGTATGTTAACTTAGACTGACTAACCTTGCAGCAGCACTAAGTCCGTACGTGATCATGTAAGCAAATAATTCTGTGTTTGCACTGCATAATGTATTTTTTTTGAAGAATAAGTCATACGAATCTTTATTCTTCGTTTTAGTAATGAAAATGTAAAGGTATGAGAAGCATACCATATTGCAATCAATGAAGTTGTGATTTGTGAGTTAGGCAGTAATCCAGCTAGGAAAACCATAATTTCAAAAGCCCAATACTCCAAACTAGCAATAATATAAACTAAAATAGTAAGATTCATAATGTAAATATTTTTCAAACTAGAAACTAAAGGGAAAAATAAAGTGAATAGGCATTTAGAAACTCATACCACACCATTGCTGCAGAAGGCAGAGCTAGTTTCATGTTTGTAAGCAAATAATGAAATGATTGAATAGAAAATCCTTTCCATGTATTCTCAAACTTCTTTGCATACATGACATATAAACCTAACAATATCACTGATATCCACATTGAAACAGAAGTTGCAATAGGTCCACCTATGAAATTCAAACCTGTCCATTCAACAAATCCATAAGCAATTCCCACATGAATCAATGTTGGAATAGCTGAAAGGTAAACCAGTGGCATGACTACAGATTGTGTTTGTAGAAACCTCAAGATATTTTGCAAGATGCTATATGCAAATAATCCTGGTATAAGAAACTTCATGTAGAGTGCAGCCGTTCTAGCAATGTCTTGTGATTGATGAAGAAACACAAGAATGTGTTCAGTATAGAACCAAACAATGGATATAATGATTGAAAAAAGAAAAGAAATGACGCAGGAGCTTTGTAAATAAATTCCCAACATGTGATATTCCTTCGCACCAAATCCTTGTCCACATAGTGTTTCTAGCGCACCACTTAAACCAACCTAAGACAAAGAAGAACACATATGGTACAAGAATTGTTGTGATCAAAATTTAAAGAAACAAACAAAAACTAATAATACAAAAAGTGTGAATCACCATAACACCGGCGCCGGTGACACTGAACCAGGAATTAGCGAGAGTAGAACCGGCTAACTGAAGCTCACCGAGGTGACCGACAAGCATGACAGAAACCAAAGTGATCAAGTAATAGAACAAGTTTGTTAGAATCATTGGTAGTGAAAACATGAGTTGTTGTTTCGCTTCCTCCATGTCCAACATTTTGTTCCACCATCTCTCTGTGTTGCGGTTTCCATTATCATCATCAGTTGCAAGTAAAAGAGGTGTTTCTGAAATGGCACTTGCCGTTGTCGCCATGGTTTTAGCTTATCTTCCTTCTTTTGTTCTGTTGTGATTTTGTTGTAAGGTAGAAAGTAAATGCATGTATTCAAAAGACAAAATTAGAATTAGTTTTATTATATATTTATATCTATATAGTAAAAATCATTAACTAAGGAACTATTTAAAATTAGAATAAAGTAAAATGATTGAAAAAACAAAATTGGAATTAATCTTATTACACATTTATAAATATATATTTTCTAAAATTTTAAATTTCTTTAATCAAATATTTTAATTGATATGCTGGTTATTGAGTAAGAGATTTGCTAATTATAATTGATTTATATTTTTTTTATTGTATTGGTGGATAGAATTTAATGTGTAATTATAGTTTATTTATTTTTAAGAATGTAATCATTTATAATAGAAAACGTTGGTTTTAAAACGGGGACAATTTTGTTGTGATATAATTCAAGTTAACTATTTTAAACTCAAGTCTAAGTTAAATAAGGTTTGTTTGTCATTTAGCATATAAGTTAGTTTATATATAAATAAATAAATATATTATAAATGAATTTTTATTCATTCAATAATATTAATTTTTATTTTTTTATCATCTCTCTCTTTCTCCTCACTAAAAATGTCTCACATACTAATAAATTGATATCTATCTTATGGTTCATGTTCTTGATCTTGTTTTCAAGAACTTCGCGTTGGTGGTCGTATTTCCAAGAAACGTGAATTAATCGCTGCAAAGATGAATGACACTAATGGCATTCTAAATTCTCTTCCATTTTTTATGGAAAAAATTAGAATCGATGGAGCAAGCAGATGAAGTCCTTGTTTGTTTTTCATGAAATCTTAGAAGTGGTCAAAAATGGCGTTCCATCTCTCATGTTGAATTAACGAAGAAGGCATGAAATATTCTTGTCAAATACTATGAAGGAGGTGAGAAAGTCAAAGTTGTTAATTGCCGACTTTGCAACGGTAATATGAATTGTTGCAGATGGGAGAAGATGAAAATATTGCAGGCTATGTGTCAAAGGTGCATAATCTAGTCCAACTCATGAAGGGTTGTGGTGAAATTCTAACTGATAAGATGATAGTTGAGAAGATAATGTGTACGTTGACCTCTCATTTTGATCACATTATGGTAGCTATTCAAGAATCCAATAATATTGAAACCCTAAAACCGGAAGATTTGGTTGGATAGTTGGAGGCACATGAGATTAGGATTGTCGAAAGGAAAGGGGTTCAAGATTCGACAAAAGCACTACAGGCTTAGGCATGGAAGAAGTGTGGCGGTTCCAACAAATTCAAAGGCAAAGGAGACAAGACTCATAGCAATAACTCTTGGTCGAATCCTCAAAAGCATATGATCGATGATAGGGCTTCTGAATCCTCGAAAAGAGGATAAGGAAACTCTTATCATAAAGACAAAGGAGAGAAAAATTGTGTGCAGTGCTATAACTATGAAAAGTTGGGTCACTTGGCTAAGAATTGTTAGTACAGGAAAGACAAGTGAACGACAAAAGGAAATGACGAAGGAGAAAACCTTGCATATCAATATTTAGATGATTATGACGATTTGATGGTTATGGTTGCAGTTAAAGATTTCCATGTCGACTCTAAGACCTGGTTCCTCGACTCAGGTTGCTCGAATCACATGACTGATCATAAAGTGTGGTTAGTAGATTTCAATGAGTCGAATAAGAGCAAGGTCAAACTTACTGATAATCGCTCTTTGCAAGAAGAAGGTAGGGTCAACATAGTTATTCAAATGAGTAATGAAGTGAAAGTTATGATCAAAGATGTACTTTATGTATCCGGAATGAAGTGCAACCTGCTAAGTATTAGACAACTGATCAAAAAAGGTTTCTCATTGGTTATGAAAGATGGAGCCTTAGAACTTTTCCATACTCCAAATAATTTGGATTGAGATCTCCTTTGTCTAAGAATAAGACATTTAAGACCATGATCAGTTAGGCTGAGGTACAATGTCTGAAAACAATTGTCGACCACAAGAATAATTGGTTGTAGCATTTGAGGTTTAGCCATCTGAAATTTAGGTCACTCAATCAACTAATCACTTAAGATATTGTAACAGGTATACCATGTCTTCTGATGCCCTACAAACTATATGAAGGTTGCTTAGTCGGGAAGCAATCCTAAAAGTATTTTGTTTCAACTTTGCCAATGAGATTCTCCTACATACTCTAAGTTATTCATTCAGATGTATGTGGCTCATTTGAGGAGCATACCATTGGTGGAAATAGGTATTTCATCTCAATTATTGATGAGTATAGTTGAAAGCTCTGGATCTATGTGATCAAGCAAAAGGACTAAGTATTTGAAATCTTTAAGATATTCAAGACACTTGTTGAAAACCAGAGTGAGAAGAAGATTGTTAGATCCTTGGTTTTACGATTTACAACATTTTTGCTAAAACATGGTTCGTGCCAGATGTTGAGCAAGATGTCATACCATCTTGACCAAACCGGTACAGTATATAGCGTTGTTACTATTGAAAAAATATGAAATTATGGTAGTCATGTCTCAGATGTCCTAAGAGATGTCGAGACACTGATCCTTGAACAACAACACAATGAACAATTTCAAACAATTAAAATGGTGCAGAAAAGTAAAGGAACACACAGAATTGTTAACCCAATTCGGTGTACAATAAGACCTACTCTGGGGGCTACCAAGCCAGGGACGAAGTCAACTAGATAGTATCAATTTGTAGATCCACAACAAACTCTTACCTAGTTTACAATCTACTCACTTAATCACTACCTATGCTTAACTTCTACCTAAAAATCACTTAGGTATGAGACCCTTCTCAAATCCCTTCCAGTCACAGACACTGACAAGAACACGATTCAAAATAATTAGAAGACAAACTTCAAAAACACACAATCTCTTTATACTTAGTAGCTTAATAGTGATTGACAATACTTATAACTCAATAGAGACAATCCAACTCAGGTATCAAAACAATACAAGA